TCTTGAATAGTGTACTGTCCCAAATAGTTCACGTTAAACTTTTTTTTTTTTTGAGGAAGATTAGCCCTGAGCTAACATCTGCTGCCAATCTCCCTCTTTTTGCTGAGGAAGACTGGCCTTGAGCTAACATCTGTGCCGACCTTCCTCTACTTTACATGTGGGATGCCTACCACGGCATGGCCTGCCAAGCCGTGCCAGGTCCTCACCCGGATCCGAACCAGCGGACCCCGGGCTGCTGAAGCGGAACGTGCGCACTTAACTGCTGCGCCACTGGACTGGCCCCTATACAATTTTTTAAACCTTTGGGATGGCCTTTTTTTTCTTCAAATTACCTTGATACAAGATTTCTGGGCCTTTTTCCTACTTGCCCTGGGTAGATCTCTTGCACATATTGCTCTGGTGTTCAGCATTCCAAGGCATTAGTAGATAAGAGCAAATGGAAGGTAAATGAGTTAAATGCGTAGACGCCTTACATCAGTTTTCCCTCCATCATGGAGCACCGGCCGTGGCAGACTCTTCATCCTGACTTGAGGCTTCTTCCTTTTCTCCTGGGTTCTCAGGCCTCCTTGTCTTCTGAGCAGAGCATATATATACTGCTGGGTCCTTTATAACCCATGGAAGTTTCTTAAGCCACAACATAAGAGGACAGTGGGTAGACAAGAACCTTATTCACTCCTTCTCTGATTCTTTCTTCCCTGCACTGTGATCTACTGGGGAAAGAAAGAGGGAGCTCTGGGCTTTTTTCTTCTACATGAAATGGAAAAGCACATCAATATGTTTTTTAAAAGAGTATCTTTGTTATATATGTAATACACTTTCAAGGTGTTTTAAATGATTATTATCTCATTTACTATCCTATTGTTTCATCTGCCTTCACATTTTCTTTTCTAGCACTATTTACATGTTTGTTATTTTTCAGATACTATAACTAATAGGTGAAAGTTTGAGGAACAGGATATTTACATATTCTCAAAGTGTTTCCCCATAATTGATGTATTAATTGCAAAAGAAAAAATTGTAACGTTTCAGTGGAGAAATCCAGTGGACATACCTTAACCAAGTATTCAAAATCAGCCTCACTATTATAGGACAGACCGTCACGTGCCTCCAGATGTGATGTACTGAGAAGGACCCAATATCAGTTAAGTGGTATTCCTGCCAAAAATGTATAACTTGAACCTATTTATGAGAAACTATGAGACAAAAGGAAAAGAGAGCAACATTTTATGTAATAACTGGCTTGCATTGTTTAAAAAACAGTAAAGTCATAAAAGACAAAGAAAGGTTTAGGAACTATTCCAGGAGATTAAAAGAGACTAAAGAGAGATGCCAGTTAAATGCAATTCATGATCTTGGATTGGATCCTGGAACAGAGAAAAATAGCGTTACAAAGGACGTTAATAGGACAATTGGCGACATTTGAATATAGACTGTTGATTAGATGATAGTAGTGCGTCAGTCCAAAATGTCAAACACTGCAGGTGATCATCTGGCCTCTGCCTGCTTCTTATAGCCTTACTCTTACTCTATTTTGGCTGCAGTTACCTAGCATGAACTCACTTTATGTCGATTGCATCCATTACTTTTGTTCTTTGCACCGAGCATCAGATTTGGTCTGTTTCCTTTTCCTTATTCAGATAGTTGAAATTAGCTAGTCTGCTTCCTTCCACTCTCAGTCTTATTTTCTTCAGCACAAACACCCCCAATCCATCCAACCATTATGCATGCCTTCCTCTATGCATGCTATTTTGCCAATGTTCTTTCTAAATAATGGCACCCACAGTTTGACAGAACATTTCAGAACATAGTGGAGAGCGTGGTGTAATCATGACCCATTAATCTAACTTTTAAATAGTTTGCATAGTGATAGGGCTAAATACATTGATCCTCTAATCTTTGCTTCTATCAGTGTTATTACTAATAGTAATTATAATTATTATTATAGCACTTAACATATATTGAGCACATAGAGTGTAATAGATTTTCCTAAGCATCTTTCATGTAATACCTTTCTTAGTTCCTACAACTTGATGAAGTAGATAATAATAATATACTTTTTTAACAGGTGATAAAATAATTTGCCCGAGGTCACATATGTAATGAGTGATGGATTCAGGAATAGTTATAATATATTGCCAAACTTTTATAGAGTTTTTATCTTGATATCTCTCTCATTCAGTTTTAGACTTTAAACTAAAATGCTTTCAAAAACTATGATGTTTGCATGTCTTTCTATAAGTCTGTGGACTTATTAGATGATTCATATTTAATATCTTAGAAAACATTGATAAATTCACAGATCCAATTTCTTTTCTGATATAAACATGAATTTACCTTATAAGCTGTTTGATATAAGCATGCGTTTACCTCACATCACCAAAAAGTTGCATCGAGATGACAGAAAACATAAAAATAGTGGGAAAAAATTCCATAGTATGCTTGAAGGCAGGGAAAGTGTTGTGAGGGAACCACAGTAGGAATGCATCTGGGGGCCGGATGTGAAGCTTGTAGATTCAGATTGACAGTGAAGTCTTTTTGAATTGAAAATCCCACATCCCCCATAGAAGAAAAACAGAGGATTCCAGAAAGAAAATTTTTCTAAGGGAACGTGATAAAGGCACCAAAATTAGAAACAGAAGTGAGCCCATGGGCCGTAGCCTGTAAATTCATCAAAGTTCTATGGAACCACTAATCCTAACAGTTACAGTGGCTGTCTCCAGTCTTTGCCTCCAGAATAATGCTGTGAATACAAGCTCTTCAAACAGAGTTATGTTACAGATATCCCCAGAGTAGGCAGGAGGCCTGAGGAGCAGTAAGACGGCCGTGAGCTGGTGGCTGCCATGAGAAATTAGGAGACCCTCCTCTCAGAAGTTACATGAGGTCCACGCTCACATGAAAGCCCAATCAGAAGCCAGTCCCCTTTCTTTCTGGCTAACACAACTACTTCAACTGGGCTCCTTTAAAGAGAATCTTACATACTCTACCAGATCAGCCACAACCTCACGGAGGCTGGGAAACACATTTCAGCTGCAAATACTAACCAATTTAATATTGTATTGTGCTTACAAGTATGAAAATATGACCAGGAGCTCTCAAACATGTGAAGAAATTTACCTAAATAAAGGAAGTGTAGGACTTCTGTCAAGGAATGGAGTTAACGTATAGTACAACACCAAAAAAATGAAAAAATGAATATAATTATTATTTTCATGGCATAAGAACAGGCTAATGATAAAAGGCAAAACTCTTGAAAATTAGTTACATTAAAGAAAACTGTATATATCTACCACAACTTCTTTCTCCATTCGTCCATTGATGGGCACCTTGGTTGCTTCCAAGTCTTGGCTATTGTGAATAATGCTCCAATGAACATGGTGGGCATATATCTTTTCAAATGAGCGTTTCAGTGTTCTTTGGATAAATACCCAGAATTGGAATAGCTGCATCATACGGTATTTTTATTTTTAACTTTTTTGAGGAATCTCCATACTGTTTTCCATAGTAGCTGCAGCAATATCTTGCCATTTGTGACAACATGGATGGACCTTGAGAGTATTATGCTAAATGAAATAAGTCAGATGGAGAAAGACAATTATCACGTGACTGCTCTCTCATGTGCAAGATAAATCAACAAACACATAGATATGAAGACCAGATTGATGTTTACCAGAGGGGAAGGTGGTGGGGGCAGGCGAAAGGGGTAAATGGGCGTGTGTGTACGGTGAGGACTGGCAACTAGACTTTTGGTGGTGAACACAGTACAGTCTATACAGAAGTCGAAATATAACAATGTACACCTGAAATGTATATAATGTTATAAACAACTGTGACTTCAATTGAAAAAGAAACTCACCAAACCCGTGGATGAGTTGACTAGCAATGAACACCAACCTGACTGAGTAGGAAGAAAAGAAACGTGGAGATATTATGGGGAGAAAAATGCATGAGTTGAAGTGACCAAATATTAGTCTAGCCCTGTCCCCCAGGAAAGGTATGGTGAGGGCACCACAACAGGCATGGATTTTAGGGGATGATTTGAAGCTCTTCGATGATATATGCCCTTTTTGTATCCAGAAAATGGAAGACCCATATTATTTTCAAATAACAGTGAAACAAATTCAAAAATTGACCATTATAAAGCCACAAAGAAAATCTCGATAGATTCCAAAAAGTGAAAATCATACAGGCCATACTCTTTGGCCGTAATAGTCATAAAACTAGAAAGTAACAACAAAAAGCCCATCCTAACATGTCTATCCACATTCTTGAATAAAAGAGGAAATTAAAAGTAGAATTCCAGATTAATTTAATATGGAGGACAATGAGAGGATTATATATCAAAAAAAGTACTCTGTGTACTTCTAGAAGGCATACATTCTTCCCTTCAAACATGTATGTAGATATTGCTTCTGTTATTTAAAAAAATAGGGGAATTAAGCTGGACTGACTTAATCATAACAAGTAGACATCCTTACACAAAATTGGAAAACCTTCAAAATCCTCTGAATTTTAAAAATGTTTAATAATTTTAAGTTTTTAGTTATTGCTTTTTGGTAGGTACTTGAATGAAAACAAGATTTAAAATTCTTAACTTTAATCTTTAAATAATTTAAGCATATTTGAATTCTCTTAAATTGAGGCAGTCTACTCTTCTCCGTAAATGGTGGTGAAAGCTTTCTAACTAACAGGATTATCAGTATAGAGAGATAGAAGGAAATTTAATGAAAATATTGGCGTTATTACATGTGTTACCCCCTCAGTTTTCATCATCTAGTTTAACTGGAACATTAGCTATACTTTGTAGATTATTGAAGTATTTGCTTATGAGTATTTTTTATTGAAATATATTAAAAGGCTATGAAATACAAATGGATTCTTAACTACTTGAAATCTATAATTGATATCTTACAGTATTTGGGAATTTCTGAATCAACCTTGAGGTCACATGTTTTAAACTATTACTCATTTACAAACAACTGAATTCCTTTTTTTGTATTTAGGATTTGGAAACATCTCACCGCGCACAGAAGGGGGAAAAATATTCTGTATCATCTATGCCTTACTGGGAATTCCCCTCTTTGGTTTTTTGTTGGCTGGAGTTGGAGATCAATTAGGGACCATATTTGGAAAAGGAATTGCAAAAGTGGAAGATACGTTTATTGTGAGTATGATAGCCTTTTAACTACGTATGTTTACTGTTAAATTTTTAAAAATATACCAACTTTTCCATCACCTGGGGTACAGTTAGACATTCAGTTATTGGGGTTCCATATCAATTTGTATGTACCTCCATTAGCATGCAATTTCTGTATTACTGTATTATAATACTGTATTATAATTATTTTTATGCTTATCTGAATGAATAAATTAATCCATGAGAAAACTCCAGAAATATGTAGAAAAAAGTAAAAATCTGACGATCCTTGGTTCAAATTCCAGATGTATTGTCTCCCAGCTTATATTCTCTTACACTAGGTATTTTACCCCTAATTGTCCATTTTGTCATTTACATAGTGTGAATAATGGTACTGGTGACGAGAGATTATTCTGAGAGTTAGAAATAATATAAATTAAAGCTTAACATAGATAGTAAATTACTAATGATATTTTATTTAAAAAATTGCTTTGGGGGGCTGGCCCCGTGGCCGAGTGGTTAAGTTCGCGCGCTCTGCTGCAGGCGACCCAGTGTTTCGTTGGTTCGAATCCTGGGCGCGGACATGGCACTGCTCGTCAGACCACGCTGAGGCAGCGTCCCACATGCCACAACTAGAGGAACCCACAACGAAGAATACACAACTATGTACCGGGGGGCTTTGGGGAGAAAAAGGAAAAAAATAAAATCTTAAAAAAAAAAAAAATATATTGCTTTGGTACCCTTGTTCCTTGCTGGTGGCGTTATAGACTTATGGAGCCCATTTGTGAAGGATGTAATAATATATGGCAAGCATGATAAAAGTGATCATGTGACTTAATTTACTTATACCAATGATAGAAATTTATCTAAGGGATGTAATTCAGTAGAAGTAAAAATAATATACATGCAGATCGTCATGACTGTATTATATTCAATAGAAAAAATAAATAAAATAAAAATGTTTTTAAGTATTTTAAGTTAAAAATCATAAAAATATCATTATGATTATAAGTGTATATTCTTGAAGAAAATTATAGAAAGAGAAAATGATTGTTTTAGAAGGTGGGATTATAAATAACTTGTAACTACTGTCACCAGCATCACAAAAACATTTTATTAATTTCTCAATGATAGTTTCTTTTCACAGAAATTTCAACAAAGTGTTTTACATTTAACTCCATTGACGAAATAAATCTATTGAGTATTGTTTTTTCAAATTAAGTTATCATTCCAATTTTTCACGTTAGTTATGTTTCATATTTAAGTTCAAATTTAGCTCTAAAATTTTTTTACTTTTGGTATGGAGTAAGGCATGGTTATCCCAAAATAGGAGTTTTATCCTTTTTTTGGTATTATACTTTTCTTATATTGATATTAAAAGTGTTCTGCATTTATATAACCAAGAGGGCAGCTTAGTGGCATGGACTTGTAACATGACATTGTTCATTCATTCAGCATGTTTGAGTGCCTTCTGGATGTTGGGTAATGTTTCCATGCTGCATCTATATCAATGCACAAAACAAATTCCATGCCCTAGTGGTGAATACATTCCAGTGGTCATGATTCTGAATTTAGAGCTAAACACTATTCTGAGAACTTTACAAACGTGAATTCCTTGAATTCTCACATATGTGATAAGGAGGGGTAGACTAGAGAAAGTTGTTTTTGCTGTCCATTCTATGATTTCACAGATCTTTATCTCTAGAAGATTTTCAGGTTCTAAAATTCAGTGATATTGCTATGGTTGGGGTGTGACCTATAATTTTCACAGTAGACAGGACAGATCCAGTGGGAGATGAAATATATATGATGACTATCCTCAAAGGGAGATCTGAAGATAAACTGCTGTATGTACAAACTTCACTTAATACGTTATGCTGCGGAGACTCCTGATAAAAGAAGGAGGTAAAAAAATATGGGTCCTCTGAGGGCAGCTGTAGCGTAGTGTTGTTAAAGACTTATCTTTGCCTACATATCATGTTTAATATATTTAGTTGTACGTTTCAGGTCCATAGAACATCTGGTTAAGGCCGTCTGTCGATGGGAATCAACTGTGGACTTTGTGTGTTCGTATTACACTCTCATCAATTGGATAATAATGATAGGCAAACGTGATAGGAGTGAGAGGAAAAAGTCTTCATGAAATTACTAATTTTATTAATTATCAACAGTAAATATTTAATTCATGGTTCAGTTTTCTCCATTTTCCTGTATTTCTAGATTGTGTTTGGCCTGCAATCAGTTGTATGCCTTTAGAATAGAAATACTTCAAAAGTAGTTCAGGTAAACAAAGAATGACGTAAATTTGAAATCGTATTCTCAGAGCAAATGAATTTACTTTTGAAAGTGTTTAGCATTTGGGGTTTCCATACAATTTATATGTATCTCTATTAGCCGTAACTCAATGTACATGCTTTACCTGTTGTAAAGCTATGTAAGTGTAAAGTAGTGTCATCATTAGCATTGTTTTGAGTTATTTATGTTATACCTAATTTTTATAAGTAAAGACGATTGAAAATTAAGTATAAAAGGGAATAAAATAACATTCTCACTTGCTAATTTACTGATAACAGTGTCTATAGGTTAGCTTTGCAGGCACACTGATAATCAGTCTCAATTTTTCTCTCTCTCTATCTCATTCTCTCTCTCACTTTCTCTATCTCTTTCTCTCTCATCCTTAGAAGTGGAATGTTAGTCAGACCAAGATTCGCATCATCTCAACAATCATATTTATCCTGTTTGGCTGTGTACTCTTCGTTGCTCTGCCTGCAATCATATTCAAGCACATAGAAGGCTGGAGTGCCCTGGACGCCATTTATTTTGTGGTTATCACTTTAACCACCATTGGATTTGGTGACTACGTTGCAGGTAAGTTTTCCTGGAACCAACACTGTCTTCATAACCAGTGTCCTTTCTTTAGACTTCTCACTGGGGTGTGAGGCACATCGCAGTGGCTGTGTTAGTTTCCTTGGGCTGCCATAACAAAGTACCACCAACTAAATGACTTTAAACAGAAGAAACCCATTCTTTCAGAAAAGTTCAATATAAAGGTTCCAGCAGGGGCATAATCCCTCTGAGACTCTAGGTAGCACCCTTCATTGTCTCTTTCCAGCTTCTGGTGGCGGCCATCGGTCCTTGGCCATCCTTGGCTTGCAACTGCATCGTTCTCACCTCTGCTTCCATCTTCACGTGATGTTCTCCCTGTGGCTCTGTCACTGTGTCCAAATTGTCCTCTTCTTATAAGAATACCAGTCGTATTGGCTTAAAAGCCCACCCTCCTCCAGTATGAGCTCATCTTAACTAATTACACCTCAAGGACTTTATTTCCAAATAGGGTCATGTTCCGAGGTACTGGGGGTTAGGACTTCAACATTTAATTTTGGAAGACACAATTTAATCCATCACAGTGACAGAGCCAAAAGAGGTCATTCCATGACGGTGAAAAAATGCAGAAAGGTATAGTTGAACATTTATTTTTCATTCTGTGAAAGAAATTTAAATTGTTGGTTGCTGAGAATTTTATATTCCCACCCTAATTTCAGAATCCAAATATTTGCCTCTTAACTATTTTTTCAGCGATAAAAGAATTTGAATTTAACTTATCTTTGCTCTTTTTACTTAGGCCTTTTCATGTCTTAGTTTTAAAAACACCTGAAAACTTCAGAAGATGTTCTTAGCTTCTTAAAATCCTCTTTCTCTAAGATTTTACCTCTTTTAATTTTCAATTCTCAGGACAATATTTTTGACCTTAGCTAAAGTGTCCACATTTTCTTATTCATCGTTTTCTATTTTTCCTTTCCTATATATATTATTTCAGTTGCCATCTGCTTTATTGTTGTATCTCTTAGGTCTTATATTCCTGTCATTTCGACTTTCTCAGTGTATTATCCAGTTATTATTATTGTTCTAATCCAAATTTAAATAAGTGATACTAATAGTGTAAAAGTAATGTAGTAATGCTCTCTCATGGCTCCTGAAAATCTAAACTATCCTTTAGAAAAAAATTCTGTTTGAAGTATTAGAAAAACATGTTTGAACATTTTAGTAGGTATATTCTATTAAACTTCTCAGAATAAACTCACTAGCCTAATTTAGTTTTACAATAGTTTTATACTTTCTGGCTGCTTACTATTTTTTCTTGACCAAAACCGCTTACTTAAATATTTTCAGAAAAGAAAATATGTTGTATAGTTCTATAAAACCTCAGAGAAGACTAATAGTTCATCTGTTTTTATTGACTTGTTAATTACAGTTTAACCTGGCAAAGCCCCCCTTTCTGGGGAATGTATAATATCCTTGAAGGTGGGGATGTTTTTGTGAGCGAAGCTTTGCTTTTGGTCAAAAATGCTGGATGCACATCTCTGTGCTGGATGGAGACCCTCAGAGAGGAGGGTGCCTCACTCTGCTGGAGATCTTTTAGTTTTCCAATTAGCAAAAGGTAGGGAGAAGAATCTCAGACATTTGTAGCTCCATGTAAGAAGACAAGCTTCTGTCCTAAAATACTCATTTTTCTACCTTTCATTGATGATGTGTAATTGACTTAAGTAGAAGTAGAAAGTGCGTTAAGAGAAAGGAGAAAGTGAGACACAATGGTAACAAAATTTATACTTGAGATATGTTAATCCTAGGCTGTTGTACCACTTTATAATTAACAAGCTCTTATAGCAACTGTGTAATATTTAGGTATTAGGTGACAAGTCTTCTATTTTCAGGCCAACAGCCTTGTACTTCACGTTTTATTTTATCTTTATTTTATCTTATTTTTGCTGAGGAAGATTCACCCTGAGCTAACATCCACTGCCAATCTTCCTCTTTGTCTATGTGAGTCACGGCCACATCATGGCCACTGATGGACAGGTGGTGTAGGTCTGTGCCCAGGAACTGAACCTGGGCTGCCAAAGCAGAGCATGCTGAACTTAACCACTAGGCCACTGGGGCTGGCCATATTCTATTTTGTTTTTTTATTTTCACTTTTTTATGGTAAAAAATACATATATTTATTTGTTTATTTTTCAACTTTATTGAGATATAATTGACAAGAAAATTGTAAGATATTTGAAGTGTGCATCATGGTAATTTGGTATAAGTATACATTGTGAAAAGATTCCCACCATCCAGTTAATTAACAGTATCCCATTATTTATTTATTTGGTAAGAACATTTAAGTTTTATTATCTTAGCAAATTTCGACGATATAATATAGTGCATGAGTTATTTTAAACAATTGACAGACCGTGTCAGTTCAATACATGGCCTGATTCATGGTTTGGGAATCTCTAAAAAAACAAAAATTGTAAATAAAAAAAATGTGGGTGGAATCCTAAAATAATGTTGTATTTGTGACCACAGTATAAACTGGCTTAGGAAAAAAGAACAAAAATTTTTACTTTATGGTTTTGTAGAAGATGAAAAAAAATTTTTTTCAACTCACCTTAAGAAATTGACACTCTGAAACTGGCTAGATCATGTGGGTCTGTTAGTAGCCACTCTCAGCTGCCTGAGGAGAGAAGTTCAATGAAAAGGTCTTGTGTGTATCAATCGGGACCCTGAATTCAGAGTTATGTCTTAGTATTATAGAGGAATAGGGTAACAAAATGATATTTGCATGGCATTAAGTGTAGTCTAATAAACATCATTATTACTAGGATTTTATTTTCTTATACCACTCTTTAAATCCATTATTTTAATTTTTCAGAGGAAATCATGAAAAATGGTGGAAATGCACCTTGCTAATAATTAGCAAAGGAATTTGATATGATTAAAGTGACAAATGTTGAGAAAGATAAATTAGAGAAGAGGCCGATTGACACTAGTCTTGTTGCCTCACCTCTATCTCCTTAATTTATGTATTTTGTGGGTATTTTCATCTTTGTGAAACCGTAGAACCCTTTGCCTGGTACTGTCGTCCTTACATGCCGGGTCCTTGTGTCCGGGAAGCATTTTTGAAATGAGAATGTGGACGAGGGTGCAGAGGTGGCAAATGCAGAGTAGGAAATGCGTGCCCTTTGCAGGAGCCTTTGGAAAAACAAAAATTATGTGTTTTTTTTTAAAGGATTTTGGAAAAGAATTGCCTCATATTGTTCAATAGAGTACATAAAAATTGTCTTTGCTTCTGGGTACCTTGTGACTAGAAGTAAAATTAGCCATTGAGTTAAGGCGAATACCCCATCTGGGAAATATTAGTTGTTTACTTTATAGAACCGTGTCTTTTCCTATTAAATGTCACTACAGATAGTATTCTCAATTTTGGTAATTTTGCCAGGGAAAAGCAAGAGGCATTGCTCAACTTGAATTTTATCATCGTTTTATTGAGCTATAAAATCTCAAAAGACAACAAAGATGTCCCTCCTGTGGTGCACACTCACTCTGTGATGCCTGTCTCAAGCCTGCAAACCCTGTTCTGAGTAGGATTAGGGTCCACTTACACTGTTGTAGTGAACTTCTTTGAAGACAAATTAAAGAACATGTTGTTCAAACTGGTGTTAGTAAAGGAAAAGAATTAAATTTTGGAAAGTGCTGTATGAATGTTTAGGATATAGGCTGTAACCTCGGTGTAATTATTAGGAGCATCTCAAGAGCACCAAGTGATGGTGGGGTGTTTTAGACCAGAGCTCTGAAACAGAGTGCTCATCCCCAGGGAATGAATGAGGAAGTCTGTGCAGGTAGACTTTCTACCATGAGAAAAAAACACAACAACTCCTGTTTCAATGTTTTTTTGGGTTTTTTTTTTGCTGAGGGAGATTCTCTCTGAGCTACCATCTGTTGCTAGTCTTCTTCTTTTTATTTGAGGAAGATTCACCCTGAGCTAACATCTGTTGTCAATCTTCCTCTTTTTGCTTGAGGAAGATTTGCCCTGAGCTAACATCCGTGCCAGTCTTTTTCTGTTTTGTATGTGGGTCACTGCCACAAGATGGCTATGGATGAGTGGTGTAGGTCCGTGCCCGGGAACTGAACCTGGGCTGCTGAAGCAGAGCTCACTGAACTTAACCACTAAGCCACGGGGCCAGCCCCTGTTTCTATGTATTTTTAAACTTCCTTCTTTAGTTTTTATTTTTTCTATGTCATAATGTTCATGATATAATTAGAGCATACTAGATTTCTAATTCATAAATAAATATATATTTAAATTTGCGTGCACAAATTGTTTTCACTGTTGCCAATGTTGAATCAAAAGCATTTAGAGACCACTAGTAGAGACAAATAGGCAGAGTGTTGAGGTTCCTCTGTGTATGTGTCTGAAGAGAGGAATTCAGCATTTGGCCATTTTTGTACAGGAAGAGATCTCCTGGCAAATTTTAATTTTATATTTATATTTATGTTTTAGTGGCTGGTTGGTTACCTTAGTGATTGGTATGGGCTCCTTCCTGATGGCGCTTTTGGTTCATTCACCAACAGTCAGTGTTCTAGAGCTAAAAAAGGACCTGGGAGGCCACAGAATCACTCCCACACTTATTTTACATGTGAATAAAATATGGAGGGGCAGACGCACCCTATGTTTTGCTTTGTGTTTCCAGCCCTAGCTAAGTGTCAACCATGCAGGATGGGCAGAAAAGCTTGGTGAATAAATGATGGGAAGGACAGTAGCTAAACAGACCCCTATTGCTAAGAGTAGTGCATGCGGAGTAATCCTTCGTAAAAGGTGAGGAGAGAAAGTAAATTATTTAGCAAAGTGTCATTTACTTGATTTTAGCAATACCTATAACAGTTTCTAGTCAAATTTGTAGAGGTAAGTTAGGGTTAATGGCAAAAACTATATTTGAGAATTAACTGTTGATTTCCTGTGTTCTGTTTCTTAACTTTTGTCATTTTATTTTTCATGTGATGAGAAGTCTGGGTTGATGACTTGTTGAATCTTGCTTGCCTTATGG